CCTAAGTCGATCAAATCTCCAGCCGGTAAGAAGGCTTTGAAAGCTTCTGCTACTTGATCAACGAGAAGAAGAAGGAGCAAGAGTGTGAATATGAAGAATAAGGTTTTGTTTTTTCTATGTAAAATGGATGACCTGTTTTTCGTTTGGTGTGTTTTTTTTTTTGTTTTAGGGATTAACTTTAGAGTAAAGTGTGTTTCGAATTTGTAATAAACACGTACTGTTTTTTTTTTTTTTAATATATGCAATAATTTTGGTCAAAGAAGAAAGGCGAAACAAAATCGAGCAAAATGGCTAGTTAAGATTTTTTTTTTAAACACTTGCATTTATTATTCGTAATAACGAATAATGAGATGTAATGATTCTAACCTTTTTGATTAACCACTATATGATGGGAAGGGATTTTCACAGTTCACAGTGATTAGTTAAAGAGTAATCAGAGCTAATCCTGTTCTCCTTTTTTTTTTTTTGGTTCAACTAGCCGATTACATATTTTTAAAACAATATCTGGTAAGCTTTTTATTAAGAGTATACAACAAAAGCTTGTTGTATTAAAAGTTGTTTGAGGGCATATAAAGGCCCAGTTGTTTTGAGCAAAAAATTTAGTTTTATAGCCCATTAGAGAGGCCTATAAGTTTCGTGTGTATATATATATCCTCTATATATTAATTAATAGGAGATATTCTAAGAGGATTTTAAGGAATTCATTTCCTAATAAAAATTATTAATAACAAATATATGGTAATTAATATATAAAATTTTATATAAGGAATATAGAAAATATTTGAAAATATCTTATTTTCTTTTCAATAATATTAGATTTTTTTATCCGAGTCAAAAACGGTATTAAAATATTTTAAAACAAAAATTCATGATTATTTTTAATAGATGGGAGAAATGAAAAATAACAAAAATAAAATATATTTAGTTTTATCAAAATTTAGCTTTATTCACAATACATATCATTTTTGTGTATTTATAAATGTTAGAGTACACGTCTAAATATTAAATTTAATTAAAAATATATTTAATTATTTAATCCCTTGGTGTTCAAAATCAGTATATATATATACTCAAAGTTGAACCCTAAAGTAATCCTCTATAGATCGCCTTTCTCTTGGTCGGCGATAGATTGCAGATTCAGTATGGGAAAAGGTCGGTCGGTCGTGTGTGTATGTTTGTGTTGCCTTGGATTAAAGATCTAATTCGGATTCGATTTGTTTTCTTTTAGATCGTAAAAAATCATCCGCGAAACCCACGGTGCCTAAGAAGACGGTGGTGTGGTTGGACATGGACACATGTCCGGTTCCCGTTGGTTTAGACCCTGGTTGTGTCCGGCCGATGATAGAATCGGCTTTGAAGAAGTCTCCTGGTTTTGCTTTCGGCCTTCAAGAAGTCACCATCTTTGCCCACGACAACCTACTGCACTTGCCACCTCTCCAGAACAAAGCCATATCTTCCTCTGGAATCTTCATGAGACACGCCCACTTTGGTCCGTTAATTTTCTTATATCTTTTTCAAAAAAAAACAAAAAAATGAATCTTTGGTATTTTATTTTCTAGGTTTAAAGGATTTCTACAATGAATTGTACAAATGGATAATTAACAATCCACCTCCGGCTACTATCATGCTCATAACCGAGGACCCCAATGCTGAGCGGCGTTTTCATAGTATGCTTCCCTCCGGAGAATACACTGTTCTTCCCGCATTTCGTGGCAATTGCTATGGATGGGAAAACATACTCAAAGGTAGCAAGTTGAAATAATAACAAGAACCAGTTAGTTAGTTAG